TTTTCTGGGTTGTGGACATCACATGCACTTGCCGAACTATGATGAGCAGTGCTTCTCACATGATTTTATTTTCTGCTGTCAAAAGGATTAAACATACACTGAAAAGAAGGAATCAGATGTTTAAGCTTTGAATTAAATTCCCGTAACTCTTTCTAGTCCATGAATTTACTAGACTAAACTTTGAATGAAATGCGTCAGTCTAGTTTTGTCTGTTATGTCATTTCATCTTTCTCAGTTAATCTTTTTATTGCTTCTGTCTGGTAATTTTAGCTCAGTCCTTCAAAAATTACATTTTTACATAGTCTCGCATGCAGTACCGTAGTATGAAAACTGAGTTAACAAGCCTTCAATCTTATATCGTATTCTATTTATTCACCACATTTTCAAGAACTAACGAACGCACTGTGAGGGCACTATATGACTTTGAGGCTGCAGAGGACAATGAACTATCCTTTGTCAGTGGCGACTTGATTACCGTAACGGACGACAGGTTACTCTGACTGTGTGTTATCTCATAAGTTACTCAATCAATACATTATTTTAAGTAATCCAAATTGGTGGTCTGGTCGCATTGGCGTTCAGCAGGGTCTTTTTCCATCTAGTTTCGTTACATCCGACTTGTCTGAAGTTAAGGTGGGTAGTGATTTTTTCATGGTTTCTTATTTCTTTTGCGGCTAATTTGATTGTGATCCAAATATCGCAAGGCGTCTCCGCAATATAGAATGATCATCACATTGGATTCCCATTGTTATGTGTTCCAAAGTTGATTGCACATGAAATGAGATAGTTGTGTTTAGCCCGAGACTGTGAACACGTCCAACAGTGCACCAACCCCGGCAGTAACAACAATCGATGAATCTGTTCTGTTGCGTTGCATACAAATGCTAGAAGATTGTGATCCTACTGGTGAAACACCTGATCCTCCAGAACTGGCTAAGGTAATTTTACTCGCCTCATCTCTGTATGAATGCGAGCAGTTTGTCTTGATTTTCTTAGCAAACTTCTTTACTATCTTATCATTTTCTTCAGATTGAGCAGGCTTCTCGAGCACAAGGCCCTCTCATAAACGCTCGTTTAGCGGCTATCGACTCGCAAGTCAACGCTCTTTCTCAGGTAAGCAGCAGCACATTTTCTTTAT